ATTCAACAAAGAGACCACTAAGTCTTTTACTAATTGTTCTGTTAAAAAACTACAAAAAGTCAAATATATGATAGATTCCAAGAGACAGAATATGGGAATTCAAGGAAATAGATGTTATTTTACAACCACCACTTTGAAAAATGCATCCTCTGTCCATCCTCTTTCTCTTCTCCAGTGATGGAATTACCAATAACTAAAAGAAATAGTATTCCATTTGAAGCTAAGTGTTGTTGGACTTACCAACACTTTAGGAGAAAAGATGGTTCAAATGACAAAGTGTATTAGCTACCTTATGGCTGACTTTTTTAAATCCCAGTTCTATCCCCAAGGTGAATGGTCATCAGGAAGAACAGAGTAGAGATCCTTCAGGAAAATGTCTTGAGGCAAAACACAAGTCCAGATGATTCCAGAAGGAAATCTGATGGAACCCATGACAATAGGAGCAAGTCCCATTAGGAAGGTCACAGCACACCAGGACAGTCACAGCACTAAGAACTTCCCTCAAATAGCCATGGAGATGGGGAATAGGCATTTCTGGACAATGAATTTTGCTAACTTGGAAGTATCAGCAAATGGAAACTTCACCATACCATTTCACTAAAAACACAGTGACTAAAGATAATAGCTGGTTAGTCCATTTAATATATGTGTTTAGGGAGAGTGGCAGGAGAGTAGGGAAAGACAGATTCTTCATCATCATTCTTTGTTCCACTGTATTTCCTCTTCTGTTTAATCAGCTTCCCCTCCTCATTGCATTTTGCTTTGCTGCCATCCTGCAGAAAAGCATCAGTAAGTCCCAGGGAGTCCCTTTTTCACAGACACTGCCAGATGAAAATGTCCTACAGTTGCTAAGCACTGAGGATCTTCATAAAGAACTGATACACTCCAATTTCTTTCACCACTAATTTGATTCTCCTTTTTTTTTTCTGTCAGCATCCAACTCTTCAAAAACTACCTGTCCTTCATATAACCTGGACTTCTTCCTATACTTACTAAACCATCAAGCTGAAGAAGTCAGAGCAGGCAGCAAATGGCGAGACACCATTCACCTCCTCCAATATCCTCACTTCTAGATCAAAAGTTTCCTCACTCCTTATTAATTGCAGGCAAGGGTGAGCCAGATCTTAAGCTAGTTTTCTTGAAGATGTATAAAGGAAGGGTTTTACATAACTACCACAGTCCAGGACATGGAGTTTAAAAAAGCAGATGCTTTACTTAGTTTCAGCTCTCACAGAGGTGCTAACTCAGCAGTGTATCTTACATCATCATTTTGAGGAAACTAACAAAAAGACAAAAGCAGTCAAGTCAAAAAAACAGCCAATATTTCTATATTCTATAAAACTTAAGCTGTAACAAAGGCTTAGTCCTATGTCTTTAGTAGCTGGTTCACCCCAAACTTGGTCCCTTCACTTCAGCAAAAATACAATGTTCATGAATAGGAGTCCTTAGCACTGTAGCAAGGTTTGTGGCAAAACTATAGATTTTTTATTCTCATGAACACATGCACATTTTCTCTATGATTTAATTTGCTGGTTTCTGTTTGCTTGTCTGTTTCAGAAGGAGATCCAAAGGCTTCATAATAAACAAGAAGGAAAAGTTTTACATAGTTTTGTTGCAAGCTCAAAAACTGATCTTGATTTACTCAAAAACATACACAGCCCCAAAAATATTGCATCTAGAGCAATTTCAGTACCAGCTATCTTCCATGTACAGCTCTTATAAAGGTATTTAATTTATTCTACTCATAAATGTGGGGCAATGCTTCCTATGCAGGTGGAGCAAAGACTCTAGCACTTCTATCTCTTGTCAGCTCTATGATAAAATTAATATGTAGGAACATTAGCAAATCACTTGGCCAGTCTGAATTAGTTTTTATTGAAGATGAATTGCAGTAGCTTTCAACCTGGCAAACATTTGTGCAGCTTTAGCTACACTATCAGAGAAATTCGGGGACTGACAGCGGAAACAGAGACACTAAAGTAGAGAATTTCACTAACAAAGTAAACATTAAGATTCCAATTTACTTCAAAGAAAATACAGCAACACAAGCAGTAAGACTTGATTAAGGACACTGCCATCAATAGACTGGAATCAATTGATAGGTAAATGCTGGATGGATACAATCCCTCACACCAAAGTTTGCCATGACTGTGAGGTGTTGATTCCTCATGGTTCACACTTAGCAGTTATCCTCCTGGATTTGCTTGTGTCTATCCTTAAGCAGAACCATGGTCCTATTTCATGGCGTGACCTCCCTCTTGAAGGCGGCCACATCTTTACACTCCTGCATGCAATGCCACATTTCACATCAATGATCCCACACATGGACTGCCCTCCTCTTGGATTTAGGCAAGACAAGCCTCACACTGGGCATGAATGGAGCATATTTACTTCAGCATTTCTGTCAGGTAGTAGCCACTCATGTTCACAGCTGCTTGGTTTTGTCTTTTTGGTTGCTCTTGCCATGAAAGATTTGCAGTGCTCTCCTGCATCCCTTTTTACTCACTGGGCAAAAGCCTGATTGCTGGCCAGTGTTTCCACAGACTGACAAGTCAGCCAGCTCTCTCAATAGGGGCATTTATTTATCTTCTTTCCTCAACTTCCAGTTTCCTGGAAGTAATAGAAAAATATATACCCTTGAATCCTTTACTTCCTCATCTGCCTTTGTAAGATGCAGTTATATTCACCATACATACATGTGAATAGAGCCAGAATTATCAATTTCTCCAACAGCAGTCACACATCACACACAGCCTGGGTCTCTCCTGTTCCCATACTTTCTAGGAAGCTATCTCCTTGCAAACATCAGGACTGCAGACAGGGAGTCACAAAGACCACAGTCTACAGATTCAGTCTTACAGAATTGTGGAATATAACATCTTCAGATACCCAGGACACTGGTTCATCATGAACAAGCCAGATATTATGAAACATTGGACAGAATTTTCCTACAAAAATACATGTTTTTCCCTTGTTCTTCTAATCCAATTATTTTCTCAAGGCATGGAAAAAAGGATTACCAAAGGGCTGGAGAATTGGCAGAGAGTTTCAGAACTGAATTCCTAAGTATTGATAAAAATACCAAAAAATGACCAGCAAAGAGGCAGTTCTCCCTTACTCTACTCGTTCCCTGCCACCTCTGAGGAATGCTGGCATCCTGCTGAAGTGCCATTTTAGCACACCATATTTCAACAGTTGTTCTCACAGATCATCTCATCTATAAAGCAATAAAAAAGTGCAAAACTTGATGTGTACAATAAAAACCATACAGGCACCTCTTCTTCTCCAAGAAAGGCAGCTCAGTAAAATTCTGCCATAACAAGCAGTAAGGAAAATAATTTACTTTCAAATCCTTCTTCACCAAGTACCCACATCAAAGATAAAACAAACATAACAAAAGGGAATGAATTATCAAGTGATGTTCCATCAGTGCTTTGACTGTACTTTTAACAAAAACATGGACAAAGATAACATGGGCTATAAAGGTACATTCAGATTTTATCAGAGCAATATCTAGAACACTATTTAATCTAAATCTCCACGTTACCCTTTAGCATTGCCCTGTAAACAGTGAAACAGTGCCCGTTTTATGCTTGGAATATCCATATTCCAATTTTATTATGAAACATAGCTTTAAAAAGTAAAACATGATTTTTTCCCCCCCAGTCTCCTATATTGATAGTCAAATTATTCATATTTAAAGAAGAGCCATGGATTTTGCCTTTTTTTTTTTTTTAATTATGTCTATATAACTTGCAGCTGGTAGTCTACAAGGAGAGACATTATCAACATATGACAGGACATATGCCCCAAAATACTGGCACTTTGGAGCTAAAACAGCACAGTAAGTTGTTGGGGAAACCTGATGAGATTTGTTGTTTCAACACCTTGACTAGATTTTCAGCTACTAACGATGGAGGGATAAGAAAGAGAACACTGATCTGGATTTTTTAAGTTAATGGTGATAACACCTTGCAGCTGAAATTGCACCATGGACTGAGCTGGTATTCTCTTCTTGTCCTACAGGGCTAAACAAAAGCAAACAAACAAAAAGATTTCTCATTTACATGGCGATCACAGGACCATCTGCTGCCCAAGTAACAACCCAAAATAAAACAGTCCTTCAGGCGCTGTGCAGGCTGGAGCAGAGTGTGTGCAATGCGCACGCTGACATAATTCACCCACTGCGAGGAGAGAGGCTGACTTATGTAAGGGCAGGCCATCCTCTTTTCCTCCTTTTTTCTTGCTGGCTATGCAGCTTTTCAGTGCTCCCAAAGGCTGTTTTATTTTTCAGACTCTCTTTAACCAGAGACAATCTTGCGCGAAAAGTACAAGTCTTTAAGGCTAACGTAACAATCCGAGCAGAAGAGCTGGTCACACACAGAGAAATGATTTTCAAAGCTTCGACTCATTTTAAATGACACTTACATTCATTTCTGCAATTTTCCTGCTGTAAGCAAATGAAGAACATCATTCTGCATTCCACTGAACCCCTCAAATCCCCTCGACAGTCAATAAACACCTGGAGTGCAAATGAATACAGAATTAATCCCTAAGGCTGGACAGTAAAACAGGTCAGGAACCATCCCTACTACAAAAGTCAGTGTGGAAATCTTGCAGCAGGTCATCTGAAACCAGGCTGCACTTCACTACTGGTTTTGTAACACATCTTATTTTCAGACCAATTTGCCTTATCCAGCTCTTGCCCACAGTACAACATTAGCACAGCTGTAAGTGCAGTGAACTAAACTATCCTGATAAAACCTACAACAAGTAGGTCTATCCATGCCCACTAGCAGGGCATTCCTAGGACATTCTTCTCACTAGATTCTTAGCACTTTCACTCTCCCAAGAGTCTTCAGAGGAGCTGATGGTCCTCAGCTCTTGGGGCTTTTAAGCCTTTCCTTTTCCTTCCACTGGGAAAACAAAAAAAAAAGAAAAAAAAAGAAAAAAGGACAAAAAAGGGAAAAGAAACAAAGAAAGTCAACAACACACACATGCTCTCCTACACACACACACACACACATACACACACAGAAACAGAGGGGGAAAAAAAAGGAAAAAGGTAAGTTAAACAGGATGCTGATCTGGAATGAAATGGATTTTTGAACAGACAGTCATATTTGGCACTGTCAGCAAAAGCTTGTGAGTGGCCCTGTGTCTCCCCGAGCCTTAATGCCCTTTCTACATCGGTCATTTAAAAACGTCCCCGGAAAGTTCAGCTGTGCTACTTCTGACATCATTTTCACACTGCTGCTGAATGGACTCGATGGAAAGACACACTTCGTCCCATCCCAGTTCCATAAAGCACTAAACATTAAGGACATATTCCATTTGGCCTTCAAGTAACATTTTTATGGTCCATGCAGATCTGCAATTACTTTCCCTTTAAAAACAATCAACAGAAAACAGCACTCTCTGTTGGAGAGCACGGAAATTAAAAACTATTGGATCTTCCAAACCGACTCCTACAATCCTCAGGCAGAAGGCTGGATTAAAGGGTCCTCACATGGTTCTAGTTGCATTCTCAGTACACCACTTTTATGAAGAAACCAAAGCTGTAGAAATTCCTCCGGCATGGCGTGGAATCCAGAATCAGGCAAGACATTGTCATAGTAATGATGGCTAATAAACCTCCCGTGCAGGTCCACCGAGAAGGGCCAGAAGCCATAAATTGTTACTTCTTCACACAGACCAAGGGCGGCACTGACTAGGAAGAGTCCCGTGGAAAGCCGTTTGCCATGGATACCTTTGCTCTTCCAGAACTTGCCAATGTCACGCAGGAAGTTGGGGTTGGCAAAAAGAACCGTCTGCTTGGCACCGAAGTCCGCCAGGGTGTAATAGACACGTAGGGAGGGTCCCGTCCCTGTCTTCATGGAGAAGGCTGGCATGTAGATGTAGCTGTGGTTATACACCTTCACGCTGTCCACAAACGCCTTTCGAGACCACAGCAGATTCTGGAACCTGTCAAACCACAGGGAAAAAGGAGTTGGTCATACATAGGTTTCCCTAATCGTCTCATAATCCACCTAAGAACAGCTCTTCATATGCATATTTACAATTAACCGCACACTCTTTCCGAGCCCAGAAAAAGTCCAGGCAAACTTCTGACTGACTGACACTGCCCTACTTCTGAGAACAGAAACCTGAATAGACAGCTGGAAACTACCTAACTCCTGCTGGTTCCAAAACCTTTCTGATTTCATCTTTTTGAAAAACTTTGAATGAACACTGGCAATATTCTAGAAAACTCGATCCTTTTTAGCGACATTTTTCTTTTGTCCAAAAACCAACTTCGATTTTGAGGTACAGGAATTTTTTTAAAAGAAATTTTAAAGTCTGTGTTGTTCTTGTTTCTGAAAGACATACTAATAAAGAACCCAAGTTATAAGCTGGACAAGCAATATTTAAATAGAAACTTTGGACTTACAAACCTTGTAAGACTTGTCAGAATTGCTTTTACTACGCCTCTATAGAGATTTAGATTGTGCTACCATAGTAGTAAATTCTTGTTCTGGAACTGAGAGAAATCTCATAGAACATACTTAGTTACAAACAATAAAACAAATCAGTGAATTAGGGTAAGTGGTAGGCACCATGAAAATTTAGCACAAGGCACCAAATAATATTCAGAGCTGGTGTTTAAGATGGCACAATTTACACACTGAGTAGATTTAAAAGTATGTGTTATTTGTAGCGTGCAAGTTACAGGAGAGACTTGTTGACAACCATGACAAGGGCAATGAATATGCACAGATTATTTCTCTGATATGATAATCATCTCATCTCTTGTTATAAAATCTACAGCAGGTTACAATTTGTTAAATTGCCAATAGCTATTTGCTGATGTCTATTTTATCCCTGATATGTTAGACTTACATACTATTCCACAACCAGTATCCTGTCAAGACTATAGCCTTTCCTTGCCATATACTTCTGGATATGCCAAGACTGAACGAGAAATACAGAAGGAAATCCTAGGCCATTCACACACACCAAAACCTGCACCAATGTTTGAGCTGTTCTGATGTCTTATACCAATGAAATCACATTTCAGAAAAATATTGAAGTATTCCAAATATGTATCACTGAATGTAGCTGGTAGGAAGGTCAGAGTCATGGTAAAACACAATACTTAAAGCACAAACTTTCTAAGTAGCAGAAACACTTGCTGTTCTGGAGTGTTGACTGCATTCATGGGTACCTTTGCATAAGAAAGTCACTATGATACACTCTTGATACTCTACTTGCTTTCCAGAGTCCACACAGTCTTAAGAGCACCAGTACCCCACCTTTACCACTTGACAGTGTCTGTAGCCTTCAGCGTGCAGGCAAAGCTTACTGCACTGAAAGCCACTTCTGCACAAGCCTCACACACTCCTTCCATTGCAGTTGGGTTGTTCCCCAGCATGTGATCCCTAGTTCTTTTCTCAGCTCCCAAATGCCCATCTTGCTGTTGTTGCTGCCCCCTCTCTCCATGTCCTGCAGCTAAGGCAAACGTGTCATGATTGATTTCTCACACCACAGGAGTCAGAACAAAAAAGTTAAGTCAGCAGCACTGGATTTCTTTTCCTTTCTCTAGTATTGGCAGAGAGATAGGTATAAGAATACCTTTTTAAATTGTTATGAAGGTATCAATTTTATGTATAGACCTCTTTGAAACAAAAACAAGAATTGCACACACAGCAACATACACAGGTTTAAGTAGAATGCCAGATGACCTCAAGAAGCATCAAACAAAATTTCATCTGAAACAATTGCTAACAAGAAACCTAACAGCTTCAGCAGCATTGATATGACTCATACACGCCAGGTTTTTTGAAGTCTTTGTTTTGGCAAAAAAACTTAGTAAGTAGAAAGTCAACATTTTCAACATATAGTATTTTGTCTCCTGGTTTGCTACAAGCTTCTTGCAAAATTTCCTTCACATGGAATTAGAATGAAGCTGTGTTGAAGGAACCCCCCTGAAATCTGCCTGGGTCTTCACTGCCTTTTTGCTCTGCAGATCTGCTCCTACTGCATGGTGCTACTTGCCACTGGCTTCCAAGTGAGAAATCAAATCAACACAAATGTACAAAACAAAACAATAATTTCATAACTTATTGCATTTGGCATTCTTTTCTGTAGAAACAGCCAAGACACAGCTGAGTTTAGAACGCCAGCCAAGACCAAGGTGCCCTGGCAGAAATTCATTGTCTGGCTGTACCTTCTCACATGGGCCCTCTCACTCCATTACTATCAGACCTATAACTAAGCATTCCCCAAAATAAGCTTTGCCATCCTCTTCCCAATAAGCAGCAAGACAACCTGACAGATTATCAGGACAGGACTTGGATCTATCCTATCAAGCTTCTCCCATTTCCATCAGTACACAGTCACTGAGCGCAAAAAAAAAAAAAAATAATCCCAAGGTTAATACTTTCAATATTCATAAAATCACACAATGGTTTGGGTTGGAAGGGACATTAAAGATCACCTAGTTCCAATCTCCCTGCCATGGGCAGGGACACCTTCCATTAGACCAGGTTGCTCAATGCCCCATCCAACTTGACCTTGATGAGTACTTCGTGCTCAGAGCCCCAGTACCCAAATATTGTTCTAATAACCCTAATCACTTTTAAAAGGTAATAAGATCAGCATCAGGCTTTCAGACTATTGACCTCATCAGAATTTGGCAAGAGGTGAGCATTGCAGGCTCAAAATTCCTTTCACAGTAAAGAGATCTTGAGTTCACAGCTTGATGCGATGGGGTCCTTGCACCTTGGCTAAGGAGAAGGCAGAGACAGGTTCACTGTCACTCCTGAAGTCAGCTGCAAGACATCCTTTCCCTCTTAAAGCTGGTCCACAAATTTCACTCCAGAGGGCAAATAGTTGCAGTTATTCTAAAACTGCATTTTCCAGCAAATTTACCATTCATAGAAAAGCAGTGCACAGCTCTGAGTTGAACACATTAAAATTGCTCAGTCTCAGAGGGCCAGAGCCTCTCTCTGAATATTCATTTGCTATCATTACCACAACATGTTTACAATTCTTCTAGATGAATCTCCCCAAATGCCTTAAAGTAATGAGAGGTGAACAGCACTGCCATGAGGGTGGTGCATGGGAGGGACTCCACACAGAAGGGACAGCATTTGTCATGCTACTGCAAACTGTCCTTCAGAACATCATCACCTCCTGGAAACCCATGCCTCATTCAAATGATCTGGATCGCAGTGTTGGTAGGCATCCCGCCCAGTTCAACAGATGGACATTATACAGGTGGCCAGGAGCCCGTGCAGAAACATAAAACATGATGATTATGGCTGGTCTGATGGTCTAACAGCCAAAAAACTATTGCCCATCTTGCACTCCTCATGAGCAGAGATATCAGAAGCAAATGAAAATTTCTGTTCCCCGTTTGTAAAAACAGCAGCGCTCTCCAGCTTTCTGACGCTCCCCAGCATGGTTAGAGGCTGAGAAATCTGGGGAGAAATGCTGTGTGTAATCAAGTTTCTAGAGATGGTGCTGGAAGTTCAAGTGTATTTTCCTGTAACTCCCAATCCAGACAGGGAGTCCTCCAGGCAACTCCATCCAGCAGGCTTTGAGGGTACCACACCACATCTGTCCCAGCAGACAGTGAGCAGGCTACTCCATGCCTGACAGAGAGACCAGGAGGGCTCTTCCCCTGCAGCTGACCAGCTCTGTAGTGCATGCCTGAGAAAGATGATATGTTTTTCTCCTGCTTGTCCTGTCATGAACCAGAACAAGCAATGAATCCACCAGCCTGATGCAGTCCTTGCATCCATACGGATGCACAAATGCCCTCCCTTGTGTCGATCCTCACCCAGAACAAGAAGCTGCTGGTTCCTAGTTAGTGCATGTCTCTGCCCAACAAGCTGTGAACATTCAGTACTCTCAGGGCACAGCCCAGCAGCTGTGCAGCTCCTACACATGCACACACACACACAGAGCTCAAAAGAAATGCATCAAATACTCCAGCCCCTCACAGAAGAGTGCATCTCAGGCGATGCTGTCCACCCAGCACAGCTCTGAGCAAGAAACAGCTGAATGGCTTTCAGGGTCCTCCCCTGACCTTCCGCAGTCAAGCTCACACAAACGCATGGCAGGTTGTCAGCATTTTGATAAAACTGAAGCTGGAATCTCCCAAGCCCTGAGCAGCACCTGAAGACTCCAAGGACTGCATGAGTTGCTCAAGTGATTTGCAGTAATGCGTCCCGGCAGCTTGACAGCAGCCCAGAGAGGCGCCGACAACGATGAACGCTGGGGAATCACGACAGCTTCAGCCCAGGCACTTTCTTTACACTGCACTCATTAGTGGACAGTGAACGAGTAAAATCATCAGCAACACATTTTTGCTGTCAGGTCCATATGAAAGATCAACTTAAACCCCACAACTTTCAACAGTGTGTGTAGGCGCAGCCACGCAGATATCAGAGAAATAATTTCCCTGCTACCAGCTGCAGAGTTCTGTCGAATACGCTGCTCTACTTTTCCAGGGAGAAAAATTCATCCAAGAGAAAACTGCCACAGTACATTGCCGTGACAGTACGATCAAAGATTAAGAGCATTAAGTGTTTTGGGTTTTGTTTTTAATCTGTTTTCAATGTCCTTATTGATGTTCTTTAGCAGATATTCAGGGACAGGACTGCTCTCTGGTACGGAGAGACCACTTCCAGTAACCACACAGAATTTGCTGCAGTGACATTGAGCTAACCCACTTGCAGATAATTATGGCAGCATTTTCTTGCATCTTGGTTTCTTTTTGATCTCCCCAGAGAGTCACTATCTCATGCCTATGACGATATCCCAGGCACTTACTGTGTTGGCATCTGCAAAGTCACAAATTCAGCATTCTGGATTAATTGCGAGTTGACTTATCGGAGGGAAAAAATAAAATTAAGTAATGAGGGGAACAGCTCAGATGCCAAATAAAATGTGTATTATTTTAAAATTAAGACAAACAG